GAAACTGTAGTAATTAAAAATTCTTTAACGAAATCAAAGTCATTTTTAAATTGATCACTTTTTTCTATCAAATCTTTTAAATAAACAACTTTATGCTCCGATTTTACTTCTAAACCTAATTCTTCGGCAGCTACTACCAAATCTTCTTTTTTCATTCCCCTTATGTTAAACATAATTGTTCTATTTATTTCTTTTTCCCTAAATAATTATAATTTCTTTAAATCTCCTACAACTATCTAATACAGTTATTCTCCTCTTTAAGAATATCACTTAAAATCAATACTTCTCATAATTCAATTCTTAAAATGTTTCTTATAAACAGAATATGATAAATCTCATACCTTGACTTATGCTCTGTTTCTCGTATGAGAGCGTGCTGTGATATTACTTATAATTTTTCCTCCTTTTCCCTTCTTCACTCAGATACTTCTCAAAATCACAATTGGCCAAATAAATGGTAACCAATTAACAACACGAAAGAAACATTTATTAATAATGATAAAAGATTAGAAAATTAATATGACCAAGACATATAAACAATTCGCTTCCGCTCTCCATCAGAGCGTTCCCTCCTCTGTCTTTTTACAACATCTACCTTGATGACAGCGCCATCCCAACATGGAGGCATGACAAAGAGCATGATTTTTAAAATTTGTCAACTAGGTTTTAACTAGTACTAAATCAAGTTGTAAAACCCGATATGTTTTACGTACAGTATTAAAATTTTGATGAGGTGTGTCTCCAAGTAAGAATGATAAAGTCGGAAAGTCACAGTTAAAGTACTGTCGTCTTTTAGATTTAGATTTCATACACTGGGTCAGAAAATGTTTTACTGTAAGAGACTCTTTGCAAAAATTGCATTGTGGAGGTGCTTCATTTAAAATTAAATACTTGTGTGTCAAGCGGGTGTGCCCAATGCGTAGTCTGTTGATAAGTACCTGGGTTTTTCTATTGTAGTTAGTCAATGGTGCAAATGGTTTAATATCTTATTCGATCTCATGTAATTTATTGTTTATTTCATTATTCCAGTTGGCCTGTCTGAGTTGGGTAAGAGATTCTGCAACTAAATTTCGAATGTCAGGTAAACAGTGTGGTTTATTCGTAAGATTGTGGGTCGATTTGGCTATTGAGTCTGCTGCTTCGTTACCTTTAATGCCCATATGTCCAGGAATCCAACCAAATATTATTTCGCAGTTATTGTTCGTGAGTTCAATGTATAAATTTAAAATATGTGGTATAGTAGAGTGAGATTTACTGCTGAAATTTTTTTACAGCTTTTTGAATCAGAAAAGATAAACCATTTTTTGTGCATTTGTTTTGAAAGAAATTGTAGAGCAAGAAGAATGGCGCAACATTCCGAGGAAAATACAGAAAAATTTGAAGGTAGGTTCTCTGATAGCACTCCTGTGCTGTGCACAACCGCACTAGCAACATGGTTATTGAATTTTGATCCATCTGTGTATAACACATAAAAGTCGTTAAAATTATATAAATAGGAATAAAATAGCTGTTGATAAATCACCGCAGATGTTTTATCCTTAGTCAAGTTTTTAAAAGTGTCAACAGTTTTGACATGTACTTCATTCCACACAGGAATTAACTCAGCTGATTCTAAAACATTAAAATCATCTAAATCTAATTGTGTTAAAAGGTTTTTCATTCTTAATCCAAAAGTAGGAATTAAGGCAGGTCTGTTGTTGAAATGAGTAGAACATGATGGTGTTAAAACATGAGAGTATAATGGATGAGAAGGGTGACATTTAATGTGAAAATAAAAGTTAAGAGAGAGTCTATTTCGTCTCAGAGCGAGAGAAGGTTCGTTATGTAAAGCATATAAACTTTCGATAGGTGATGTACGGAAAGCTCCTGTGGCAATCCTGAGTCCTTGATGATGAATAGTGTNCTGTGATATAACGTATAATTTTTCCTCCTTTTCCCTTCTTCACTCAGATACTTCCCAAAATCACAATTGGCCAAATAAATGGTAACCAGTTAGCAACACAAATATTTATTAACAAAGAAAAAAAAATGAAGTTTGAAGAAAATTAATATAACCAATCCACCTAAACAATTCGCTTCCGCTCTCCATCAGAGCGTTCCCTCCTCTGTCTTTTTACAACATCTACCTTGATGACAGCGCCATCACAACATGGAGGCATGACAAAGAGCATGATTTTTTTCTTCATAATAGTGCCAAAGTAAGTTAGCTTAGAGAGATGAAAAATTAGATCCTTGTAGTAGTCCATCAATTTGAATAAAAATTCTATTCATTGTAAAGGTAGTTATTAAAAGGACAAAAATTTATTAGAATTTTTCAATGATCAAAATCACAATGAAGGATATTTTTAAAATCATAGTAATAATTCAAATAGACATCTTTCAGTTTAGAAAGGGGAAAAGATCCTGGAAATCAAAAGTCGCAATAGATTTTATTATCTTTAATATATTCTAAACTCGGGTGATTATTCAAGAAATACCTTCTTTAATAATACTGATAATAATTAATTTATTGATGTAAATTTTTGGCGCAAGAGCCATGGTTTGGCTATACCGCGCCTAAATCTAGGTTAAAATTACTATAACTTTGTTAAAACGAGAACAATTAGGATAAAATGAGCAATTTGTCCAAAATTAAAACAACTAATTTAAAATTTGTCAACTAGGTTATAACTAGTACTAAATCAAATTGTAAAATCCGATATGTTTTATGTACAGTATTAAATTTTGATGAGGTGTGTATCCAAGTAAGAATGATAAAGTCGGAAAGTCACAGTTAAAGTACTGTCGTCTTTTAGATTTAAATTTCATACACTGGGTCAGAAAATGTTTTACTGTAAGAGACTCTTTGCAAAAATTGCATTGTGGAGGTGCTTCATTTAAAATTAAATAGTGTGTCAAGCGGGTGTGCCCAATGCGTAGTCTGTTGATAAGTACCTGGGTTTTTCTATTGTAGTTAGTCAATGGTGCAAATGGTTTAATATCTGATTTGATCTCATGTAATTTATTGTTTATTTCATTATTCCAGTTGGCCTGTCTGAGTTGGGTAAGAGATTCTGCAACTAAATTTCGAATGTCAGGTAAACAGTGTGGTTTATTCGTAAGATTGTGGGTCGATTTGGCTATTGAGTCTGCTGTTTCGTTACCCTTAATGCCCATATGTCCAGGGATCCAACCAAATATTATTTCATAGTTATTGTTCGTGAGTTCAATGTATAAATTTAAAATATGTGGTTTAGTAGAGTGAGATTTACTGCTGAAATTTTTTATAGCATCGATACAGCTTTTTGAATCAGAAAAGATAAACCATTTTTTGTGCATTTGTTTTGAAAGAAATTGTAGAGCAAGAAGAATGGCGTAACATTCCGAGGAAAATACAGAAAAATTTGAAGGTAGTTTCTCTGATAGCACTCCTGCGCTGTGCACAACCGCACTAGCAACATGGTTATTGAATTTTGATCCATCTGTATATAACACATAAAAGTCGTTAAAATTATATAAATGGGAATAAAATAGCTGTTGATAAATCACCGCAGATGTTTTATCCTTAGTCAAGTTTTTAAAAGTGTCAACAGTTTTGACATGTACTTCATTCCACACAGGAATTAACTCAGCTGATTCTAAAACATTAAAATCATCTAAATCTAATTGTGTTAAAAGGTTTTACATTCTTAATCCAAAAGTAGGAATTAAGGCAGGTCTGTTGTTGAAATGAGTAGAACATGATGGTGTTCAAACATGAGAGTATAATGGATGAGAAGGGCGACATTTAATGTGAAAATAAAAGTTAAGCGAGAGTCTATTTCGTCTCAGAGCGAGAGAAGGTTCGTTATGTAAAGCATATAAACTTTCGATAGGTGATGTACGGAAAGCTCCTGTGGCAATCTTGAGTCCTTGATGATGAATAGTGTCTAGATATTTTAAAACAGACTTTCTAGCTGATCCATAAACTATAGCACCATAATCTAACTTGGAACGGATTAAAGAATGATATATTTTGAGCATAGATGTAGTATCTGCCCCCCATGATGTATTAGCCAGCACTTTTAAGATATTTAATTTTGCGAAACAGGATTTTCGTAAGTTTTGGACGTGAGCTTTAAATGTTAATTTTGAATCTAAGATCAGCCCTAAAAATTTTGCTTCCTGGACAACAGGGATTACAGCATTATTAATGTAAAGTTCAGGATCAGGATGAATTCCTCGTTTTCGACAGAAATGAATACAAGAAGTTTTACTAGGTGAAAAGGTAAATCCATTTAAATCAGATCATTTTAAAATCTTGTTTATTGAAAGTGGTAACTGTCGTTCAATAGTTCGCATGCACGTGGCTCTGCAGGTCAATCTAAAATCGTCTACAAATAACTCGCCTTCCACTGTATTTGGTAAAAATTATAAAAGTTCATTTATTTTTATAAGAAACAAAGTCACACTAATCACGCTACCTTGTGGAACTCCTTCAAGTTGGTTAAAATTATTTGATAAAATTGTATTAATGCGTACCTGAAAGGTTCTATCAGTTAAAAAGTTCTTTATAAAATAAAACATGTTTCCCGTAATATTATATTTAATTAGGTCCATTAAAAGACCATGTTTCCAAGTCCTATCGTATGCTTTTTCCAAATCGAATAGCACTGTCACAAGGTGTTGTTGTTTAAGAAAAGCTAACCTTACTTGTGTTTCTAGCATAAGTACGAGTATATTGTCAATAGTGGATCTGCATTTTCGAAACCCGCTCTGATTGCTATGATATATATTTCGAGATTCAAGAAGTTGGACTAGTCTGGTATTAATTATCTTTTCGAGAAGTTTACAGAGGCAGTTAGTCAATGCAATTGGTCTATAATTGTTCGAGTTTTCCGAATCTTTTTCGGGTTTGGGAATAGCTATGACAATAGATTTTCGCCAAGAAGATGGAAATTCTCTTTCTAACCAAATTTTGTTAAATAGCTTTAAAATTGTTTGTAAATCAATATCAGGAATATTTTTTAGCATAGAATTATGAAGTTTGTCTGGACCTGCCGATGTAAACCGGACACAGCTTAAAGCAGATTTTAATTCTGAAAAAGCAATTGGGGAATTGTATGTATTCATCAGATGGGCATGATAAAACTTTTAGAGGTATTTTTTCAGTTTTATTTTTATACAATTGAAATTTTGTCGGATAATTAGAAGGGTCTGATACTTTGCTAAAACTTTCAGCCAGAATATTTGCGATATCTTTAACATCGAATATTTTATTTCCACTGGTTTCCAAATGCGGTATAGATTTATTAGGATAGTGGCCAGAAATGGTTTTAATTTTTTTCCAGATTTCGCGGGATTGATTGAATTTGATTGAATTTAGGGTTTAGTGGCACAAGGTCCAAAGGAGGACATGCTGCGCCAAACAGTACGGTAAAATAGTTTAAAAGTCTAAGTGCATTCAAATTTGATTGTAATACATTTATAACTGATAAAACAGTACTAGCAGGTGAATAAGACAAGATTAATTATTTAAATAAAATCAGATAAAATCAGATATAAAGCATGAGTACAGTATAATACGTAGTAAGCAAAGTGGACGAAGGTGATAAGATATTTACAAAAGTGTATAAAACAGTAGACGTGTTAAAATTTTATTATGCAGTTAAAAATACCAACGACGCGTAAAAATGCTGAGANTGGTCAATGCAATTGGTCTATAATTGTTCGGGTTTTTCGAATCTTTTTCGGGTTTGGGAATAGCTATGACAAAAGATTTTCGCCAAGAAGATGGAAATTCTCTTTCTAACCAAATTTTGTTAAATAGCTTTAAAATTGTTTGTAAATCAGTATCTGGAATATTTTTTAGCATAGAATTATGAAGTTTGTCTGGACCTGCCGATGTAAACCGGACACAGCTTAAAGCAGATTTTAATTCCGAAAAAGCAATTGGGGAATTGTATTCATCAGATGGGCATGATAAAACTTTTAGAGGTATTTTTTCAATTTTATTTTTATACAATTGAAATTTTGTCGGATAATTAGAAGGGTCTGATACTTTGCTAAAACTTTCAGCCAGAATATTTGCGATATCTTTAACATCGAATATTTTATTTCCACTGGTTTCCAAATGCGGTATAGATTTATTAGGGTAGTGGCCAGAAATGGTTTTAATTTTTTTCCATATTTCGCGGGATGTAGTTTTGTCGTTTATACTAGAGACATATTGCACCCAAGATTTTTTTTTTTGACTAATTCTTCTAGTTTTCCGTGAAAAGGCTCGCGATTTTTTGAAAGCTATTAAATTTTCAATGGTAGGAAATCTTCGAAATTTTCTTCATGCTTTCTTTTGAGCTTTTTGAGCAGCGCTACATTCTGGGTTCCACCAAGGTTTTGGATACCTCGGGAGGTTACCAGAGGTGCAGGGTATGCTTTTATCAGCTGCATCTAAAATAGCGTTTGTAATGGATATTGTAGCTTCTTCAATAGATTTGTTATTGATTAAATTGTCATTTAGGTTTACAGAGTTTTTAAACAAGTTCCAGTCAGCATGTGAAAATTTATATTTCGGTTGTACGTTTCCAAGATTTTGTCCAGATCCTGAGATACGTAAAATTAAAGGAAAATGGTCACTTTGGCATAAATAATTGTGTATTTTTAATTCTGACGTACTATAAACATTGGGAGAGCAAATTATTAAATCTATTGAGTGAAATGTTTTGGTTGGAAAGTGGAAGTGAGTTAGTTCATCATTATTGAGTAAACAGAGCTGGTGGTCGTTGATTAGTTTTTCTATTTGTGATCCCCGAGAGTTTGTATCATTACTTCCCCATACTACGTTATGGCCATTAAAATCCCCTAATAAGAAAAAAAGGTATTGGCAACTGATTTATTAAATCGTCTAGATCAGATTGTTGAATAGATTGATTCGGAGGAAGGTAAACAGAGCAGAAAGTTATAAGTGATGTTATTGTTATTTGAGCTGCAATAGCTTGAAGATTTGTTTTAAGGTCTTCATCGATGGTATTATGGACAAGATGTTATATCTAAACATTCTTAAGAATCATCTTAAAGCTAGCGCCCAGAAACTAGGTTTGGAATCGAACTTCATCTTCCAACAGGATAACGATCCCAAGCATACGGCTCAAATTGTGAAGATGTGGCTTGTCTGTCGTCAGCAACTACATACTCCACCACAGTCCCCGGATTTAAATATAATAGAAAATTTATGGTCTCAGCTGGAGAAAGCTGTTCAAGAACACCACATTACAAGTAAGGAGCATTTGAAAAGTGTTTTGAAAGAAGAGTGGGCCAAAATTTCAGTGGCATCTACAAAAACTCTTGTGGAATCAATGACCAAACGGTTGCAAGCTGTGATTCGAGCAAATGGATATGCTACAAAATACTAATTAATTGTTATAGACATTTAATAAAAGTGTATACTCAATTCTGTGATTCTCATTTTTGTATTCTACTGTCTTTGAAATTTCTTTCGTAAGTACTAATTCAATATTTCACATTTTTATCTGATATCTTGTTAGGGAACTATATGCACTTTTATCTATAATACTTTAAATTATTTTGTTGAGAATTTCAGACTTCTACACACAAATTTCGAAATGAACTGTTTGTATATACTCAATTTTGGGAGTGACTGTATATATATACATATATCTATATAGATACATCTATAATATATATACATATATAGATACATCTATATATATATATACATATATAGATACATCTATATATATATATACATATATGTATATATATATCTTCATCAGCTCACACGATTATATCCACATAAAGGAGTGCTTTCTAATTTTGTATCAATATAGTTAAAGCAAAATATATCAATACAATAGTGTGAGGAGCACTCAAAATTTTTTTAAATATAAAATAGAATAAAACACATTAAGTAATGAATATCACGTACAAAAACCAAAAAATAAAATGCAGAAACGCCAGAAGAAACTTTTCAATTTTGATCCCTTATTTCAGGACAGTTACATTTCTTCCAAAAGCACAGGTGTTCATCACTAGACAGAAGTTACCCCCCTCCCCTCACTCTCTACAGTCAGAGACAGACATAAAACTAAAGAAATTTAAATATGCAATAATAGATATAACACTTTCAGTTTTTGACTTCTTTTTTTTCGAATTTTTCAAAAACTACCTAGAAGATTATTTTATAACTTTCAAGACTGTAATAAGTTTTTAAACCTTCAAAGGTGATTTAGTTAGTTAGTTAATTAAGTATTATTGGCGCAAAAGCCATTTTTGGCCACACCGCACCTACAACTTGTTTTATAAGAAACATTCTGCTATAAGTTAAAGCTAAATTGATTTGTAAAAACAAATGTCCCTTAGGTAATTAAAAATGTTATTGTGGGGTTTATCTCCAATTAATAAAGTCAATGTTGGATTAAAGCAACCAAAGTGGCGTTGTCTCTGTGTTTTAAATTCGTTACACTTTGTTAAAATATGTTTAATAGTGAGCTGTTCTCTACAATGAGAACATTCAGGTGCAGTTTCGTTTAATAAAAGATGTTTATGGGTTAATCGAGAGTGGCCAATGCGCAAGCGATTTAATATTACTTCCTGCTTTCGACTAATGTTTAGACTTTTATAAGATTTAATAGAAGGTTTAATGTCGTGCAATTTATTATTTATTTCATTTTCCCAAT